CAGGATTGGTTTTTCCTTTTAGCAGTCCATAGTACTTTCAATATTCTTCTTCAACACCACAACTCAAATTCATTGATTCATTTTCTGTCTTCTTAGTCAATGTACAACTTTCACATGTATATGAGGCAATTGAAAATATCATGACTTAGGTTAGGAGAACTTTAGTCCTTAAAGTAACATCATTGCTTTTCAATTCTCTAAAGAGGTCTTATGCAATAGATTTACCTAATGCAGTAAGTCTTTTGATCTATTGACTGCTGTTTCCATGAGTATTGATTGTGGAGCCAAGCTAGATGAAATCCTTGATAACTTCCATCATTTCTCCATTTATTATGATGTTACCTATTGATACAGTTGTAAGAATGTTGCTCTTGTTTACACTGAGTTGTAATCCCTACTGAAGGCTGCAATCCTTGATCTTCATCAGCAAGGGCTTCAAGGCCTCATGTGCAGCACGCATGTTTGTGCCATCTGCATATCACAGGTGATTAGTAAGCCCTCCTCCTAGCCTAATGCCACATTCTTCTTCATATAATCTAGCTTCTTTGGTGATTTGCTCCACATACAGGTTGAATAACTATGGTGAGAGGATACAACTCTATTGCACACCTTTCCTGATTTTAAACCGTGCAGTATTCCCTTGTTCTGCTTGCACAACTGCCTCTGGATTCATGTATAGATTCCGCATGAGCGCAATGAAGTATCCTGGGATTTCCATTCTTCTTTCTCAAGGTTATCCAGTTTCTTATGATCCATACAGTTAAATGCCTTGGCATAGTCAATGGAAGAGGAGTAAACCTCTTTCTGATATCCCCTGCTTGCAGCCAAGATCCATCAGACATCAGCAATGATATTCCTTGTTCCACCTCCTTTTCTGAATTCAGGCTGAACCTCTGGCAGCACCCTAAAAATGTACTGATGAAACTGTTGTTGGATGATCTTCAGCAAGATTTTACATGCATGGGCTATCAGTGATATTATTTTATACTTTGAGTGTTGTGTTGGGGCACCCTTCTTTGGAATGGGTACAACCATGGATCTCTCCCAGGCAGCTGGCCAAGTAGCTGTCTTCCAAATTTCCAGGCCTACATCAGTAAGTGCTTCTAGTGCTTCCTCAGCTTGTTGAATTGGTATTCCATCACTTCCTGTTTGTTTGTATTGGGTAGCACCTACTGGGTAGGAGGCTCATCTTTCAGTACTATACCAGACAGTCTGTAATTGTGACACATAAGGTGTTCTTTAGAAGTGAATCACAGGTCTCCCTTCTTTATTTTGTTTTAGTCCAGAAGTTACACTGATACCTGTCCACAGTGGGCAATACCCCTCAAATTATCATTTTCAGCATCATGGCAACATGAAAATCACTTGCTATGTTGTAAGTAAAGGACAAATGGTTGGTGTTTATGATGATACAATACTCCATTCTAAGATGTCTCACTGTCTGAAGGCATGACTCTTTCTTCCTGCTCTCTAATGTGGTTGCCAAACTATTTGTGGCTATTGAGTACTTAAAATGTGGATCATCTAAACTAAGATGTGATACAAGTGTAAAATAGACACCCAATTTTGGTCACAATGAGAGGCAACTAACACATGGATAATTTTTGTGCCTATTAATATTAAAATAATATTTTAGATTTTATTGGTGTGATAAGTAGGCTTATTGTGTCAACCAGGCCAATAAGAACATATGGGATTAATAAGGTCACAGTTTGATTGGAGGGCAAAGAGATAAATGGCTTGGCAAGCCCCATCTGCCTCTCTCTTGCTCTCTGGTGATTGGACCAGTGTGCGGCTGCCTTAGCTAATTCTCTGCCTCAACTTGTGAGCTACAATACCTGTGGGACAGCCAACCCATGTATTGTGTCACTACAGCTTGAGGTTCCTTCGAGACCTGCTTTGCCATGCTGCTGGTGTGCACATCACTTGAGCTGGGGACTGTTGGATCCTGTCATCTGCCTGACTGTTAGTGACCTGCCCTGCTTTTTGCTGCCTGTGACCAGGCTGCCTACATTTGTCTGTGGAAGACTCGGCTGTCTATTTCCTTGACTTTGGATCCAGCAGCCCTCGTGAGTTGAAGGACTTCCAGTATATTAACTGTTTCACAGAAGTGAGTTGAACTGAGCCCTCTGTACTGCTGTGTGGATTAATTAGCTGTGATATTCCTTCAAGCTAATTTTATATATATATATAAAATTATATATATATAAAATCTTTATAGATATACATACACACAAAATCATAAGTGTCCTTTTTTCTCTCTAGAGAACCCTGTCTAACACAATTGGGTTAAATATAAGTAGATTATTAAAATTAATTTCATCTGTTTCTTCTGACTTGTGTTAATGTGCTTACCAGGGGATTTAGAATGTCTTGTATGGCTTGAATTTTTATTATTATTTTTTAGCAATATTTCTCTATATGTCCTCATACTTGTTGATATCATTTGCTTTCCTCTGAGCAGCTATACTCAATACTTAACATTTAAAAAATAGTCTTATAGCGATGTACCTAAAAACTCCTAATGTAGTGTACTGGGAATGGCTTTGAAAACATCTTTTTTGTCATTTTCTGATGAATGAACTTGAAAACAATCACTAGGAACGATTGATCAGTGTGTTGTCTTTACAAAAAGGAAAGCACGTTTCTTCTCATCAAGATTAGGGCATGAAGATGTCTGGCATTTTCCTTAAATGCTTGTGGCTATCTACTCAAGCACTCCCTTAATGCAAAAACACTTTGTTCTATTAACCTGGCATTCAATGATGCTAACCTTGCTGAAAAAAAAATCACTGAAAACAAAGCAGGTGGATAAGCAAATGTGTTGAAGAAAGCTGATGGTGCCCAGCTGTCAAAAGATATAGAGATCTGGGGTTTTAAAGGTTTGAAGATAAATAAGCGGCCATCTAGCGGAGAAGCAACAAAGCCCACATGGAAGAAGCACACTAGCATGTCTGATCACGAGGTGTCAATGGGATCAGGTATCAGGCATGAAAGAATAAAAAAATCATATCATTGTGAATGAGGGTGAGTGCAGAGTGGAGACCCAAAGCCCATCTGTGGGCAACTGAACATCCCCTTACAGAAGGGTTGTGGGAAGGAGACAAGCCAGGCAAAGTGCAGTATAGCACCAATGAAATATATAACTTTCCTCTAGTTCTTTAATGCTCCTTCCGCTCCCACTATCATTATCCCAATTCTACTTTACAAATATGGCTAGACTAGAGAATGTACACTGGTACAGATAAGAGCTGGAAACACAGGGAATCCAGGACAGATAAACCCCTCAGGACCAACAATGAGAGTAGTAATACCAGGAAGGTAAGAGGAAAATGGGGTATAACGGGGGAACTGATCACAAGGATCTACACATAACCCGCTCCCTGGGGGACAGACAACAGAAAAGTGGGTGAAGGGAGATGTTGGACAGAGTAAGACATGACAAAATAATAATTTTTAAATTATCAAGGGTTCCTGAGGGACTGGGGTGGCGGGGAGGGAGTGGAAAAATGAGTAGCTGGTACCAAGGGCTCAAGTAGAAAGAAAATGTTTTGAGAATGATGATGGCAACAAATGTACTTGACACAATGGATGGATGTATGGATTGTGATGAGTTTTACGAACCCCCAATAAAATGATTTTAAAAAGAACACAAATGCTTGTGGCTAAACACATAGGATAAAAACCAAACAAACACCACAGTCGCACAAATAACCTTTATAAGGGAGAAAGGAGAAACAATTCGATAAAATATCCCAAGTGTCTAATTTCAGCTAGGTGTATTACATAATTCCTAATGCCCTATGAAATGTAGGGGTGCATTAGAAACAGAATAATTTTACAAAGGGATTGCTTGTAATTTTACAAAGGGATTGCTTGTAAGGTATGGGGGAACCACTAGGACAGAGTAGTACCAGGAGTAGTTCCACCAGAGATTTTACTGTCTAATGCTGGAGTCTGGCCATCTCCAGGGGAACCTTCATCTTTAGTTAGGAGTGCAGCACGTCTTAGGAACCTCCTCGATATGGAAGCAGGAGAAATGATATTATGATGTTATTCTCCTCCATTCTGCAGGTTTTGACACGGTGGTAAGAATGGAACTACAGGGGAGTGGAGAGAAGTCCTGGTGGCTCCTGGTTACTGTTGGGCTGCTAACTGCAAGGTCAGCAGTTCAAAACTACCAGCCACAGAGAAAGACAAGGTTTTATACTTCAGTAAAGAGTTACAGTCTCCGAAATGCACAGGAGCTGTCCATAAAATCTCCTATAAGGTCGCTCTGAGTCTGAACCTACTAGATGGCAATGAATTTGGTTGGGGGTGTTCAGACAATGCAAACAGTTGAGCAAACAAACAAGAATATGGGTTACCCACAGGGAATGACGCTTTTTAGGAAAGTAAAGCATGGACCTGAAAGGTCTTGGGCTTTTTACCATGACAATCTAAATTATTATTTGTTGGTGTTGCCTATTTTCCTGAAGCATCGGTTTCATTATAGTAATCTGGGGAGCGGGAGTCCTACATTTTTTCCCTACTGAAACATGGCTGCATTATAAGGTTGGATGCAATGGAATCTGAATCAGTACACCAAGGATACAACGTTATTTCTTCTGCTTCGTGGGCAGATGGTCACGGCTGGCCCCCTGTACCAAGGATGGATGGAGACCAGGAAGCTAAGCTTGTGAGAAGGTTGGGAGGGTGGGAGCACAGACTGGGGCGAGGCTGTGACTCAGAGGACTGCGTTCTGTTCTCCTCTTTGTCCTTTGATCTCTGCATCTCTCACCCTTAGGCCCCCAGTGCCTGAACCTCTAGATTGTAACTCCAGAGCCGCCCACCACACGCCCAGCATCTCGTTGCCCGGGCAACCCGCTTTTGACTGGTCCTCAGCAGCCTCCCTGCTATTGGCTATGAGGCCGCAGCGCGTCTCTGACGTCACTGCACGTCGCACTCCTTCCGTGGGCGCGGCCCATGCGAAGCCGCGTTTCCGGATTCCCAGCGGCTGGTGACCGAGCGGCGGCGGCTGTTGGCCGACCGACCTTGGCAGAAGGCCCGCCTCGGGCGGCGGCTGGCGTTACGATCGCGGCGGCAAAGAGGCGCGGTAGGAGCAGTCCGGGTGCGGGGGTGTCATTCTTTAGGCAGAGCTGGCCTCGGCTAGTCGGTTGCTAGGGCCGCTGGGCTCTGTTGTTAAGGACCCTGATGATTCTCATAGCCTGCACCGGAGTCCTACGTTTCTTGGGTTGGGCTTTAGCAAGGAGGACCCTACTTTGCCCTTACTCTAACTCTCTTCCCCCTTTTGTTAAATGAACATCTCGCCCCCCCTCCCCCATTCTTTTAACCTTTTTCCTCTCTCTCCCTTTTGGTTTATCCTCATCATTTCCAGACTTTGCTCCACACCCTGGCCCTGAACTGGCTTGAGAGATTGGGATGTGTACCAGATGGAGGGGAGGAGACTGGGAACAAGTAAAGCATATGTCAAGCCATTTAAGATTAGCTTTGGGGCCCTATCGTTGTGCTTTCGGAATTGAAGGCGCTTCAGGGAAGAGCGAGGCCAAGGCTCCGTTAGTGAGCCTTTTACAGTCCTGGAACCTTGTAGATAGATGCCAGTTAAAAGAGTGTGAGAGAAACGTATCTCCCGCCCGAGAATTTAGCAAGCAGGGTGTGGGGAAAAGAAAGAAGCAGGAGCTATTGGCCGACTCAAGCAGTGAGAGGCAGCAGCTTTCCGCTAACCGCAGATACTTCCCTAGGGAGACTATAACCATCGTGAGGTTTTGCATTGGTTTGTTTGCTCAGCATTTTATGACTTCATTGGGTGTATCTGCCTCAGTGCATTAATGGACTTAAGTGTCGAATTAGAATCTTTGTCATTATTCCATAGAAGAGTGAGAGTATAGTCCTAATGATATTTCATAAGCCAAACAAATTCTTAGCATCTCACTTACCTCCGCGTGTTATTTTATGGACTATATTTTTGAATTTGATTGTTTTAGGAGGAAACACTAGAAAGAGTTGTGTGTAAG